TTGAGAATGAGATACCTTGATTAGTTTTGCATACCAATGAGTGTGTGTATGATTTTGAAACAATAAGAAAAATTCGGATATTGGCAACCATAATCGCACATTCCCACATTCCTAACATAATGAGCAGGCAGTAAGGAGCATGATTTGTGCTCTGCTACCATCGACATTAGTAGTCATCACTTTAATTACCAGGAGTGTTTAAATAAGCATAACTGCTCAACCATGTGACAATATAACGGAGGCAGGCATTGTTATTGCAGTCGGCAGTTGAGCCTATTATGACAACATTTTCATTGTTATTCCTGCTCCTGTAAGTTGTCGACAAGCAGAGCAACAAATATTTGCAGAGATCTTGATTGTAGCAGCAAATAATAAAACAAATTAAAGTAACAAATTAAAGGACAACACCTAAATAGTGCATAATCAATTTATGTACTATACGATGACATCGTGCAGAATGATAAAGACTTCCTTTTTTGTAGTAAGATAAATGGATTTAAGGTTTGTGTTCATAGTTAAAATGAACCGAATTCACATTATATCCTTTAAAGTGAATAAATTCAAGTTTTTAATAGATGAATTTTAAAAAGCTCACGATTCCGTAGCATAAAAATTTTTATATCATTTGTTAATTCAAAAGAAATTTATGTTTTTCTACCTTTTTTTTAACTATTTCGACTTATATTAAGCATTTCATTGTGATTTGCTCATCTTAATTATGGTGTACACCAGTGCTTTAATGTAAGGGATGTTGTTGATTTATAAATAACGTTTGACAGCTAAATATGCTAAATCTGTACTTATTAAATTATAAACTTTACTTCCCAGTGCACCATTGCCCTCATTGTTTCCTTTAAGTCCTTGGAGAGTATTGAGTTACCTCGATATGGGCATTATAGTATATATTAACTTAATTTTATTAATTCAATAAAGTTGTGGACAAATGTTTTGACATGAAATGTTTTAATTTTTTAATACTATCAGTTTTGGTTTCGGTGGCGTATGAGTGACATTCATATTAACACGCAAATGATTAAGAATATTGAACTATTTCAGATATTTTTAAAAAATTCTTGAATATAAGTATTCATATTAAATTTAAGCTATCATAAAATTAGTAATCAATCATTTATCAATTATCTTGTAGCAGTTTAGCAAACAAATTATTTACCAAATCACTTATTGTTATTTATTAACAAATTGCTACCCTAATCAAATGGTTAAACTGATGTGATTGAACTCAATATAACAAATGAATATGTCGTCAAAAATTACTTACCACAATTTGAAGGAATAAACTGGACTACCTTGACCACACTTACGTTTTTGTGGAAAAGAGCAAAAATCCACTTCTGAGGTTTACTGATGAATTAAGTTGTGTTTCTTCAACTTTTGACCATCAATCACCAGAAAATGCTTAAACATTGAGATTTATTGTGGCAAATAAATCTTTCCTTGTCAATTTGAAATGTTCAAATGTAACAGGAAATATGCAAAAATAAAAATAAAAAGACAAAAAAATTTGAAAACATGTGCTGAAGCAGATTTGGGTCGCGTAAATCAAAATTATTTGGGTTAGAATTGATTTTAATTTCATTCAAAATACAATTCTTCAAGGACAATATAAAAATTCGTCATGTTAAGAAAAAAAAACATATTTTACTTAATCTCACTTAAATTAGATATTCTATAACTTTAAATAGTTCACCTTTTAAAAATCATCCATTTATTCCTATGGGTACATTTATTTTTGAGAACTTAAATATTTATACTTAATAAAATTATTCTAAAGTGTCAAATATTTGTTATTTCTCCGATGTCGGTTTCGCAGAGAGAGCTGCATAACCTTATCTATTCTCCAGCAAAAACTGACGAAGATTATTTTATTTAATGTTGATAAAGTATACCTACATTATTTAGAAACATCACTGATTCATGTTAGCCTGTGCTTTAGATGTATTGATATTATTACTCTCATTAAACGATAGTTCTTTAATAATTAGAACTCGTGCAAGTTTGAAGCCACCTATTTTTAATGGAATAAGACCAGCAAAAATTTTTAGAACTAATATTTTTATAGCATCACTACGACTTGACCTGTTTCAACAGATATCCCCACTAATACCGATTGCAAGCCGTTATCATTCAATAGGTTTAAGCTGCATTGCAATGCTTCTTAGAGTCTGCATTCCTTGCTGTCAACCATAAAAACTCCTACTAAATGGTCGAATATATCATTATTTTTTCTCCAGAAATGTACAGAGTACTTAAGTTATATAAATATGTATAAAAAAATAACCTATAAATACGGACTTGAACAGATTATTATTACAGCACAATTAAAACATTTAATAGAATAGAATAGAAATTAAATAGGTACTGGCTTCCAAATGGATTCCAAATGTCATCACTTTAAATATTCTGTCCTACAAATGAACTCTTACTGTATATAAGTTAGTTCTAAGTTTTTTGAATAATAATTTAATGCTAGCTGTTATGGATGGTCGTATATCAGACAAGCATAGAATCTCCTTGCTTCTATTGCAGCCTCTCTCTGTGTCACAAAAAACATAGAGGTAGAGGTGTCATCTAACTCTACGCAACGCCAATATTCACCCTAGATATAATTATCTTGCTGGGACAGCAACACAGCCTAATATGTGCTGGCAGATATATTAATAATTATAGTTTTATTTTATTGAGGAGAGGCGCTCTTCCGTTGCATTACATTATTTAAGTACTATATAATCTAATAAGAAATGTGTATTTACACAAATTATTAACATGTTAGTTCATTTCATTACTTTATTAATTTATTAGTAACGTTATTATAACGGATATTCTTACTCTATGACTTATGAGATATATGGTGCTATGCTAAGAGCACGTCTCTTTGTATTAACTTAACGATAAAGTAACTTAAGTCAAAAGAATAGTATAGTTAGTCTATCAGAAGGCGTCTTAATTAATTTATTCAACATACATTCCACTTCTTATACATGCCTAATATAAATAGCTACTTTGAGGTAAACAAGACGAAAATGTGGGTGCTTTTTTTAAAGTAAGTTTCAGTAAATAGAAAAACTATATAAAAATTTAAAAAGACTTTATTGAATGTAATTAAAAATAATTGCTAAATTTTTAACCAAATATTTAAAAATAAATACCATCTTTCCATGAAATAATCATAATATTTTATTGCATAAAATCAACTGTAATACTTCAACTGTTTTTTTAATCAAATTCAATAAAAAACACAGTCTCAATATTAATTTTATAAGAATCTTCACATAGTGTATTGCTATTGAATATTTAATGAATTCCTCGAAAAGCATACAACTGAGTATACATAATGAATATATATAAATTCATAAAAATATATCATTTGCATATATTTTCACACCCGACTTCTTTTAATAAAAATGTGTTCTCTTTCGAAGAGTATTTGAGAACAATGAATGTTTATCCACAAAATTGCATCTTATAGTTTGAATCAATTGTTCCGCTTCGAATATTTTAATAAATGTCATTTCATATATTTTTCTTATGAATGTATTTGATTCAATTTCATATAATGAAAAAATTTTGAAATTAAATAGTACACTGCTTATTATTCAATGATATTTTTATATAAGTTTATTGTATAGGTAGCAACTATGAACGTTACAGATATAATTATTTCATTTTTTGTCCACTATAATTTACTTTAGCTTGGAAAATACGTTTAAAATGACCAAATTTTAATGCCTCTAAACTAAAGTTCTTTAAGGTAACCTTTCATTTTTAAGGCGTTGGAGGAACATATTACCCCAGTGGCGTACACAGGAGTTTGCCCTGAATACATTACTGCTTTGTCGATAGCAGATCGTCTACATAATCGAATACATCAAAAATTCTTTGAGAGTTCAGTTCAAATTTTACAAATTGATCCGCTAGATGATGCTAAAAATATATATTCTGGGAAATGTTATGGTTCTGGAAAATGCACCAAATTAGAATAAAATTTACTTCGAACAAAAAAGAATCTATGTTGTTATAGTATCATCACAAAATAGTACGAACTATGCCATTATTTGTAGAAGGTTGCTAGTAAGAAAATCTTATAACCATATCAAGTATTATAGTATAATGGATAATATATATGATATGATATGATCTCATTAGATTGAATAGTAACAGCAGTATGCAATTTTTGTAGAATGGAAAAAATGTGTCACTTTTTATACAGATTCATATTAAAATTCTCTATAAAAACTTATTTTAACGAAAACGACCTGATAGCAGCATCAAATGATTACAACAAAATTGGAAAATCTTAACATAAAGCTAGAGAAACAGAATGATTGCATTAAAAATAATTATTTTTATATATTGATTTATGAATAATTAAAAATTGAATTTATAAATAATTGTGATTGGTGAACTATTGCCTCCATGTGTTCTTTTATATAAGTTAATGTAATAAAATTCTTATTTCATTTCATTCATAAATTTTATTTAGTAAAAATTTATGTGAAAAACAAAACAATTTGAAATCGCCGTCGTGTCGAGAAAATGCTGACATTTATTTGAAATTATATGAATATCTCTCAGCAACTAAACCATTCAGTCCTTATACTTTCCAGGCAGATTGAAAGTTACTTATTGACGAATAACTCAGACTTAAAGATTTTAAATCTTGTCATCATAATGACATCTTAAACTGTTTTTTAATTACATTCAGCCACACCTTCTAGACTTGAGTTTTCAGGATTTGTGATAGTAAGTCATCAGAAATTATTCCGGAAGTCCAAATCTGAAGTGTAATCATCATGTTTAAACTAAATTCTGTATACAGTCAAATGCTTAACACATCTTGGATTGAAGTACATAAATACTTTCAAGTAAATTGAAAACTACTTAATTAACTTTTACGTAGATGTCTATATCCTAAGTGATGATATGTACACAAGATGATAACACCATCCGATTTTTGGACAAAATCAAATTTCGGCATTTAGAACTAATTTCCAGACATATTCGAATTAGTTAAACATCCCGTACTTGAACCTTTAGAGTTTTTGTAGTAAATTTGGAGTTATTTATTATATATAGCCCAGAAGTCCAAATTTGAAACCAATCTTCGTGATAACTTTACGAATTGAATTTTAGATATAGCTAAGAGATATAGCCCAACTTAATTGTGAGTTACTCATTGAATCAGTTCAGTAATCAATTTTGAATGCAATCCTCGAGACAACGTTTCAAATTGGTTTTTAGAAATATCCAAGTTAATTATACATCCAGGGTTTGGTACTAGCATTTTTTTTATATTTTTTAACTAAAATTAAATAAAAAATGAATTTTAATAAATGTTAAAAAGGCACAAATAAATATGAATTTTGCACTATTATTAGTATTCTTAACTTGTTAATTTTTCTTTTAAATAGCTAAGAAGTGCATAACTAATTAATTTCTTGAATGTATATATATATATATATTGCATATATGCAATAAGTACATAATTCTTATAGAAATCTGTATGTAAGTGCTAGAGTTTTATTTATGACTTCCAGAAATTCACATCAACTACTTAATTACATAAAATTCGAAGAAAATTTAAATAGTACCTACATTATATATAAAGTTTATGTGGATATAACAAAAATTCTAACTGTCTTAAATTACTTAAATATGTATTATTAAAATATTTTAGAATCTGAAAAACTCACCAATATTATATTATTATACTAATTATTCATAATATTCACTGTTGAATCCATAACAACATGTGGTAATTTTTACATAGTCATATTTGCTCTCTGAAATTTGTTAATAGAAAGGTTCTTAAATTTTTATCTACTAAAAACATCTTGACATAGTATTAAGGTCTGTACCTTTGTTTAATGTCTTGAAAGTATTTTTATATAAAATCAATGCATTTACGGAAATTTTGTTGGAAAAGCCAAAAGTTTTGATATTTCGAAATTTACTGAACGAAATTTTTTATTAATATGAAATTTGATATTTTTTATTTAAAAAAACACTCGTATACTAAATATTTAAATATCACAGGCAACTCTTTGGCATTGAAATGTCAAAATGTAAAACAAAAAAGAATAAAATTTGGTTCCAATAATTTTTATATAGAATTAATAAAGACTAAATTATGTAAGTGTACTAGTACTTCTCTGTTCTGTTTATTATCTATTCTGTGAGGGCAAAAACAATTTGTCTATTCAAATTTGGTCATGAGAGCCGAGGCTATCTGTGCCTTCTGTTGAAAGTAATCTCATAGATCTAATATACAAGTTCCTAGCAGCTCATGAGTCAATTTTCACAGTAAGTACCATATATGGAGAGGTTCTTATACTAAAATCCTAAGCGACTGAAGACGCTTACGGCTTTTTTATACTAATCGATGGCACAATTTCATTGTCTTCGTGGTGGAATCGAAAGCAATTGTTTCAAATGCTAATAAAAATATTAAATATTTTTTTTTAAATAAATAGGCTATGATTTTATAAAAAGAAATTACCAGTAAATACAAGAATTTTTTTTTTCATATTATTTAAAATATTGGAACAGAAAACTTCAAAAAATTTTTTTTCGGCCATGTTATCAAAATTATTGTATATCGCACATATTTTTAATATATAACATTTTTCATTAAGCCACACATATATATACCTATAAGAATGAATTATAGTTCTGGAACAATATAAAGTAAGTACTTTTAAATGATAGCTTAAACTAGCTTATAGGATATAGCCAATATGAAGTACATGTTTTTTCTATCAACTTGCAGAGAGCAAAGATAATTTAATAATATAATCTATGGAAAGACTTAAAATATATCCATTTAAACTTAAAATATGAATATTGGTAAGTTTTTAAAACTAAAATAATATTTAAGTTAATAATTTTTGCCATTCACAGAGAAGTCCTGAATATAGCCAGCAGTGTTTCATATTAAGTTCACTCCAACTGATGCAAAGTAAGTGGTTGGTCTTTTTCAAATCACTTGTAAAATCAAAATATATATAATTCAACTAGTCACAAAGACAACCTTAATTTCAATAGAAATCATAACCACATTAAACAACTATATGTTTAATATTATTAACTACTATAGCTATCGAAACTTACGACATAGTTAATTGATAGTGCTTAATAGCCGACCTACACAACATGCACTACACAAACCAATTCAGTGACTAACTCTCTCTAGGATATCCATTTTAATTTTATATCTTTTGTTTATAATCAGTGATACCAACCTACACTATTGTATTGATTAAAGGAATTGGTATGAAAAACCCTTCGAATATGCCGAATGGAATCGTCGAATTTAGAAAATCCAGGGTTCAATCAGCACTTTGAATAACTTGTAAGCTTTGTAATATATTATTTAGAACGTTACGGTGCCACTTCTATATTTTAGTAGATATAAGTGAATGATTTGCAATGTGAACACTGCTGGTAATGAACAAACTTGCCGTATCTGATAACCAGTTTGAGATGTCATCATATAGGAATACGCTTGAAATCCAGACTTCAACAAGATATTCTGATTAGCAATTTTAACTACGTTTGGAATAATCAAAGCTATTCACGATGTAGTGAAGCAAAGACGTAGAGTTGTTGGACTAGATTAAACTGGATTGAGTATTTCACACGATGACCTTTTTAGCTGCTCTCCTATTTCGTCATATTTGTCTAAATAAAAAATATGGACGAATTTGTGTTGTTTTTATTGTAGAACAGTGATTAAAGAAATTATATCGGTAAAAAGTTCGATGTAAGTATATTTAATATACGTATACACATACTCGTCTGTAAAGTTTTTGTCTCAGAAAAACATATAGCATAAGTATGTCGATCAAGTTATTTCTAACAGATTTGTGGAGATATCAGGATCATTATAAGATACGCAACTATATTTAATTCATTATGTTTGGTTATATGATATCGTTTAGCCAATTTATTAACAAATCTTTTTGGGAAACAGAATTAATATTATCATTTTGTTTATATAAACGCTTAGTTAATCAAATTGTCTTTGATGACATAGTCTTTCATACTGTTTGAGGACAAAGTCCGCATCATCAGAACATTACACAACCACAACGTAAACTGATTATACATTGTAAAAAAAAATTAAAAATATGATAAGGAATAATTACGCTCTTGGCACATATGTTTACTCATATGTAGATGTTATGAGAGATATAAATAAATCAAGTCTTCCAGTTATGTGCGCTAAACATTATTGTATATATTTTACTTATTTGTTCAAAAACACGTTAAGAGACTGTTATACATTTTAATCGATTGGTCTTCAGGTATCAGGTATATGTCTTTAAGGCATCTTCAATTATGGAATTCAATGGAATTAATTTCCAATTGGGTACTTCAGTGTATTTGTCAGTATTGTCATTGTACCCATTTCAACACAAAGCTATAATATAGTATAGGATCACGTGATACAATATTCATCTTTTTTTGTTAGTTCTGAGCATATTAATAAAAAATATTTTGCTCTTCGTTCTCAATTGAGACTGGACTTTCCTTTAAAGAGCATTTTAGGCTATACCAAAGGCACAAGGAGTTTTTTAAAACCGTTGTATTCATAACCTAACCCATAATAAGCTGTGAAGGAAGTGCATGATTTTCATTATATTTTATTTACTTAATAATTAAAAAGTTGCTATATGTGATTATTAATTTTATTATTTAGACTTTGAGGAAACTTTAAATTTGCTACACTTCTGTATTTAAATATTTGCTCTTAGTGTTTACAATTTTGTTTTGTGTACTTTGCCAATTCAATTTATTTGGTTGTAAGAAGCATCTATTTTACTTGCTCTATTGTTGCAGGATATTTATTTCATTGTCATTGTTATTTTGTGCTTTAATCCTTAAATATTACTCCTGTTGGATTTAAGTGACGTTGCATTGTTAAAAGCGAAACGGCATTGCTTCTGTATCAACTTACCAGTGCGAACAGCCAAGTAGTGCTCAGAGTCACTGACGCTGATAGTCGTACATGCACTTCCCGACAGACATATTGCATTATAACTCACATTCGAACATTCGTACATTTACACATGCTCATACACTCGCAAGCACGCATACACAATAAAACACATGCTCCAGTCGCTGTTTCTGATGTGTTCCCGTACGGAACATGAATGTAATTTGAAAATAAGTAAAATTGAAATACGTGCTCAATGCGTTGCGGCAGCTGAAGGCTGAGGAGGGGCAGATGATATTACGAACGTATGTTTCGTTGTTGTAATTTTCATTATTTTTCAATTTTTCCAGCAGCTTAAGAAAAATTATTGCCATTTTTTTTTGTTTTGGAAACAAAAACAAGCTCGTAAGATATATTTTCTCTGAAGAAAGAAGAAGGTTTTTAATTAACATGTATAGGTGTTTATAGATCCATACACATACAAGTTGAAGACGAATATTGAAAGGTATAACTCTATTGTACTCCATGATTAATTCGTTTCAAGAATAATTGGCAATTGCTTAAGATAGTCGTATGTGGTACTTGTTTTTCAATAAATGAGAAACTGAAGTTAAATTGAAAGTGAAGAAATTTATTATGTAGTTGGTAGCAATCCCAGTTGGAAGAGTAAATAGAAATTAATGAAAATTTTCTAAACTATTTCATGAAATTAACATCAGTTTTATGAGAAACACCCATGATTTGCTCTGATATCATTTTTGTTACTACATGCAAGCAACACATCGTCACATAAGAGATGGACTTTCTGAAGTCTTAAGAAGTGAGCTTTTAGTGGTACTGCATAAAGTTTTCATATATAATCTTGATCACTTAGTTCATCAATAATTATAAATATACTGTATGTGAGGCTGTATGAGGTTATAGATCGCTTCGTAAAATACAGATCTACTTAAGACTTAACAGTTAAGCACTTAATGGCACTATAGAGATTTATCAAAGCTATTTGAAGCAATTTCGGTTGCGGTTAAGGTTTTTTTTAATGAGAAAACCCATATATCTGTAAGGTACACATCAAATGAAATGGAATTGTATAGTTTTCTCACGCATGCCACTTAATCCAATGACTTATGGTTTGCTCCATGCATTCCAATCATGTATATTTTTAAGGTCCTATCTATCCTCATATGCCATTTTCTATAAGTGACTTTACCTTGTTTTACGGATATATCACGATTTTTTCGCATCGCTCACATGAATTTAGTACTTGTTCCTTTTCTGTTGCTATATAGACACCAATCCAGTACATTTTGCAAATAATCTATCTATCTTATCTACCGCCTATCATATTTACAATCTTATATTAATTGCTTCGCTTTGTTCCAACAGCATCACGAATTTTTCGCATACCATAATACAGTACAGCTAACGTGACTTTACATCTACTTCTTCTGTTGCTATATGGCTACAAATCAAATATATCCTTAAAATATATTTGAGCTGTGAAGACAAACGACAATTTCACGAGATAGCTTCCGTAAACTATTACTGATCTACATCTATTAGCAGCTGGTGATTATGTAAAGCACCGTTCTATTGACCGCAGCGCTGGAGGAGATCAGAATTATGGTACTAACCATAGGTGGCCATTAAATTTGTACGATGCATTGAATTTATTTGCTCCTAAAATATTTTTGAGTGTATCTGTGGTTAGCAGGTTGTAGAGAAGCACTCACTACATATTGAGCTTAAATAGATGGGTCTTCATTGTTTTTAACGAGAAGTTAAGATACCAAATGTTTCTGAGCTATGTAAAGGCAGATGGGACTGTCATCACTAGATCCATATTTGCCTTAGCATCTGTATCTAAAGATTTTATTGGTATATTTCAAAGAATATATTAATTTAGTGACATGAAACTGACAAATGAAATAATAAATAATAAAAATAATTCCAGTTATCACTTACAGTTGTTTTCAATTGTGATTTGTAACTTAATGGAGCATTTCAAATACACAATTAATTATTTTAAATAGCAATTAAGCAATGATAATTCGTAAACTTTGACATTTTGCAATCAATTGCTTTTCACAACTCTACAAAGCATTTCAACATATTTCGCAATACTACAGTACTTTTTAAAAACTCTTCTTTAAATTGTATTATTTGAATCCTCCTATGTCAAATACAAATCCCAGCTAATCCCAACAAATGCACTTACCTGTATCACCAACAGCATTAACGTGCTCAATGCAACTCCAAGCTGGCTCGGTGCCTCGGTGCTTTCGTGTCTTGCATTGTCGTAATGGCATGTCAACGTGTAAGCCACGTCCAACACATTCGCACTCGATGGGAGCCAATAAAATCAGTATTAGCACTGCACACAATCCAAATCCTTGTCAGGTTGTTTGCTTTCCAACTGCTGCAAGCTTGTGCCGCTCGATGACAGGCAATCATTTCAATTGCAGCACACACAGCGGTGATTCATTGAAAATCACTTTAAACTGTCGTAAATTTGCACTCAAAGTCCTGTAAAGTTGTGCTTCAATAGATTTTTTTTACTATTTTTCAGCTTTTTTTTTTTGTTTTGTTAAAATAAATATAATTTTTGGTTTATAAAGTAAATTTAATTTGAATAGCATAAGAAAGTTTTTGATAAAATCAATTTAAGGCATGGTTAATATTAAATGACGTTTGTTACTCATACACCATATCGTTGGCAGTTCCAGGAAGGATTAACGTTCCAGTCATCTAGTTATCTAGCATTTTGGCGATAACCAAATTCTTCTTTTGTAGAACAGTTAAATAGAAACTGGGATAGACCTACTATACTCACATATCTGTGTATAGGTTGACCGCCCTCAAATAGAAAACAAATCTAGTGATCTCATTTAAGCAACCCGTAGAGACACTCATTGTTTTAGAGTTAAAACAATTCTAAGAAATGTAGTATTATCTTCAAATAATATGATTAACTCTTATGGAACGAAAACTATCATAGATAGACTGTGCATGCACTGCGACCTAAAAGATTTTATGTGTAGATCCGAGAATGAAATATGCGTTTGCCTTTAGTCAAGTACAGGACCTTCTATTTAAGAACATCCCAAGCTTCGTTTTTAAAATAGTTTAAGCTGAATTTCATATGAATTGGTCACTGAAGTGAAGTTGACCTTTAGCACTACTCCATTCTATCAATCTATCAACCACTTCCTGTTTCTCTGTCCAGGACTTCAGACTTGGAAGAGATAACGAAAGCAAATTTAACGGATCTCCTCAACTTCATCTGGAAAACCAAATGGTTTAACAAGGATAACAAAGACTAGCTACTCTCCTCGCCCGGCAAAATTTTTTTGAGGGCATCACAATAGCCAATATATGCCTCCGAGTGAAAGTGCTGACAACTGTCAGCACGCGTCTTCCGAACCTAACCTAACCTATTTAAATATTAATATATTAAAAATTATCTATGTAGATTAAAATCTGATATAACAGATAATTTATAAAAAATTTTTAAGCTACACTTTTAATATTATTTTAATCCTGCTGAATTTCATATTGTCATTAAAACTGATAGTTATGCATATTATTTTTTAATCTAGTGCAAACTACACAGCAGTTAAATCTCTTTAAGTGTTCTACAAATAACAGAAGACATATAAGTCTTCCACAAATTATTTATTACAGAATATCCTTTTAATGTACTATTTCCACATATTAGCCATAGGTTACATATGTACTTCTTCTCATTAATAATTTATCAATATTTTCATCAAGAAAACCAATAAATGCTCATCACTCACTACAGTTATTTGAAAAAGGTGAAGTGCTTAAAAGTGGAAGCCCTTTAAGTTTAAAGTATGAATTTCTGTTGTTATTCCACTTCGACTTAAAACTTCCTAACAAATACGTACAAGTGTCGTTTGTATTGTTTAATTTACGAGTTCATTTATTCTAATGTTTCCGGGAATGTACCACATTTTGTCAATTTGCTTGTGACATCAAAATAAATGTTCAAAGTTTCCAGTTTAAGTTGAAAAGTTCGTTTCAGCAAAATTTGTTTAAAATTATTTAAATTTCCAGAATATGCGATAACTTTGGACTTTTGGACTAAAGAAAAAATTTTCACAATATTTCTATTTTTAGTAAATCCTTCTTCAATTCTTTAAATAAGAGAGGTTGTAATACTAATGTATTGGAATAAATTACAAATTTCTTATGAAATCTGAATTTAAAACTTTTATAGAATAATTAAAATAATTATTTTTAAAAACTTAAATTTTATTTAAAATGTTTTGCTGATTTAACAACTATGCTTCGCCTATTAGCTCCTATGGCCATCATAACCACGTCAGGCTATGTCAAAACTCCCTTTTGTTGGCCAATTCTAGGCGCTTTTATTTGATTGCTTTTTGAAGGAGTCGAATTCTGTGCAAAGAGGTCAGATTCAACAGTAATACCAGGCTAGGGCAGATCGTAATAGACAATTCCCTTCCAATCTTAACAAACACTCAACTCAGTTAACTGTCAATCCAGGCTTTGAAGTCGTTTGTAGATAGCCACCATCCTTTGCCAATGATAACTTACATTGAATATTCTCATATTCAATCCTTTCTCTATCATCTGTAATGATTCTGTTTAGAAATAGGTCAAAACCGTTGCCTTTTAGCGGAGTTTGATTGATGGTAATTTAATCAATTAATAATTTTTTGCGTTAGTTAATGTGGTACACAAGCATATTTTTGAATCCTTTTTTTTTGTAAATAATTCCAAATTATCATGTGCTTGAAAGATATTTTTAAATTAATATAACGTTTTACAAGAGCGACGAATTACAGAGGTGCTTTCACAAAAAAATGTAGCCTGAAATGTCACCTTTCAAATACATGTTCGTCTGATATAATCGGATTTATCTTGGTAGACATAGACATAGTCCCAACACCAACTAGTAAGAAAAAAATCTCAAATCCTTTTTCTATTATCCAATATTCATCTTTATTCCAAACAAAATCTTATTGCTACACAAGACTACAGACATTTCACTTGAGAGTTTTGGGTCAGAGCTTTGTCGTTTTTAAAAAAAGCCCGGATCTATTGAATTTTCAGACCACACACTATACCATACAGTGACTTTTAATGGATGAATTGGTGTTTTGTTGATTTTAAATGCCCGACATGTGACAATTTTATTTGTTGAAATATGATCGTAAATTCTTTTTGACTTCGAATTAAACTACTTTACTTACAAGTTTATCTTGTTTATATTATATGTTCTTCTTACAAACTATGTAGTCTAAATGAAAGCTTTTGCTCTATTTTATTTCAAACAAAAGTTTCTTATTAACATTTTAGTATCATCAATATGCAATATTTTATCCACTGAACCAATTTGCATTTCTCCACATAATATCTTGAAGTCTTATATGGTTAAGGATAAATAGGATAAGATTAAAATTATCTATCACAGTTTTAAGAGATAAATAAAAATCAACACAACGTGATTTATAGTCCTTAAATATAAAACTAATTTATCTATTTTTTATGGTTTTCTTATCCGCTGAAGTAATTTTCCCTATTTTCTATGATTATTTGTTGAGAAAGGATAACGAATGGTTTCAAAAGCTGTCCAAAGCTTTAATGCAACAAAAGCACAAGGTGGAACGAAGAAGCAGTTGAATATAAAAAATCTAAATATGATAAGCAAGAAAGAACATTCCCATTAGAACTTTACTTTTCATTCTTAGTCAATAAGCAAATAAAGGTATTTCAGTTATAATTATGGTATAAACTTACTCATATGTATAAAATCATAAGTCCATTTCTGAAGGATTAATATGTTAACAAATGTATTTATGTTAAGTTAGTAACATAATCTATGTTATTACTGTAATTTTACATAAATTTATGTATATTTATGCCGCACATGTGACAATATAATAAATAATAATAATATCGTTACTATCTAAGAACTATTAATATTTAATATTAATACTATTATTTTTATTTATAGTTAAAATAACTACTATTAATTTTATCATTCGTTAAAATTAGAACTATTGATATTATTAGTTAAAATTAGTAGTATTAAACAAATTACTTTCATATTTTCTTATTTATTCACTATTAAATATTAAATGTCAAGCACTAACTGACGATAGCAAAGTGCATAAAACAAAAAAGGTTTAAGTATATGATAAATACCGCAGAGCGCCATCTGACGCAAGTAACAGAAAATGCTTCATTATTTATTGTGAATGGCTAAATAATAGCATTGAAATATTTGTTGTGAACAGGAACATTATGTTAAGATAACTGTGAACTCTGAAATAAATTGTATGTTATGTATATTGTGAATACAATTTTAATGTTTATGTTAATTAACAGAACCCTCAAACAGAATATGTACAGGGATATATTAATAGAACAATTGTATTTACGCTTATCTGTAAGTGAAAGTTAATCTGACTTTTAAATGTTAACTATTTTAACATTGAGAATGTTAAGTTTATTTTTACAGACAGAACTTAACCTGTCGTCTTTTTGTCTTCGCCTTAAATTGATATTCTACCGCTTACAATGTACCTTCTGCTCAAAAAGTATCCGGATTTTATTGTTTGTTAACTACCCCTTAAGTAAACACGGCACCACTATCATCGCTCAGGAACCATATTCCTCAGATCTGGATCCGTGCAACTTTTCCTGTTCCCGAAACTCAAATTGCCCCCTTCGTGTTAAGCGTTTTGAGTCGATTGAATCGGTAAAAGAGAATTCGTTGAAGGAATTAAAAGCTATACCTTCACGGGACTACGAAAAGTGTATGGAAGATTGGGTTAAGCGTTGCCATATGTGTATCGCTTCAGAAGGAGCATATTTTAAAGGAGATAAATTAAATTTGAAATAAATTTAAATTTGTTTTATTTACAAAATCCGAGTACTTTTTGAGCAGAAGGTATTTTCTGTCGTTTATAATTGGATTACTATTTTATTTGTATTTGTATTTTATTGTATAATATATACAATGGTATACATTTAAATTAAGTTATCTGAATTTTTTAAAGATCACAAGAGAAAGTGTTGCAAACACAAATAAAAACAATTCAATGCTGTTTTATGTGCTGTAGAAAATAATATGTTTGTATGCGAAACAATCATTTGAGTGAATAATAATATTAATTCAATGATAATAATTCAACGTAAATAATTCGATAATAATAACTCAAGGCAAGAGAAATTGGAAATTGAAATTTTGTTTATTTAATTATTGATTTGCAACATAATTGAGAAAAAGGATATATCAACACAAAAATGAGTTATGAGAATCTTTTTAATACCTGATGTAAATAATATTGTTTGATATATACCATATTCTACAATAACATATGTGAATTATATAATGTTATGTATATATTTCCAGAGGTTATACTTATTTAATGTTCCCGTAGATTTTTGTGAAATTATTAATATAGCTTTTCTTTTGCAAATCCAGCAACATAATAATGAACATATGAAAATCATCCATTCTCAGATTCAGCAGTTGAGAATATCCAGAAAACATTTTATAATAAATACCTCTATTCATGGTGGTTTAATGGTGGATTCTATACAATAATTTTCAGTAGTAATGTTACTAGTAAAAATATTTATGCTTAATTTCAAATACAAACAAAATCCAATTTGTCAAAACTTTAAATTTTATTTTGACAAAAAATGTAACGACTCAATATATCGTTAAGAAGTTCATCTTCTACAGTTGAACTGAAGGAGACAATTTTGAGACACAATTAAAGTAAGAGTTTTTCTGTTCATCAGAAGTTTTCAAGGGTCAATCAATAATAAGACTTTTACGAAATTTGAACCCCTCTTACTTTCATCTCAACTCTTCTATTAAAAAATTTGGTAGAAAAATCCATACATTGCTGCGAAACTTTCTATTGACTCCGTCTCTGAATTCGATGACATCCTAAGAAGCAGGTACTACCAGTCCGAGTCTCTCTTCCAACAAACTGGCAATGTGAAGTGTAAAATACCTAGAAATTTTTACAAGTAAAGTTTTAACTCAATTGATTTTGTTTATAGTATCTTAGATCACTTTTCGTACTCAAGTATTACCCTCATATATGGTTGTCAGCACCTGTAAACCGTATACAACAACAACGTTCCAAAGAACTTATCATCACATGAAGGTTTCATTGGGAATCCTTTTTCAAAGATGAGATAAATGTCGAAGCAAGTAAAGTATATTTTCGGTTCTATTGTTTAACTTCTTTAAGAGCCGTGATTTAGTTAAATTCGGTATGTAGTCACGTCCGTTATAGTTATGTCCTAGTTTTGTTAGTAGAAATAAATGAATGTTACCTTATTATTATTATTAAATATTATTAATTTAATAATAATATTAAAAATATTGAATGAACAATCGTTTAATTAGGAGGTCTACAACTTCTGTAGACACTTAAATTCACAGTGTCCTGTGTAAAGCGATCTATATATATATATATATATATATATATATGGAAGGTTAATTCTTCATCCAAGAAACTGGAATAGTTGTAAAAGAAATTTGAAAGGTTAGTCTTTGCTTCTAGGAACTGAAATTGTTATATAAGGGAAATGATCCAGTTTTAATATTGGCTAAAAAGGGTTAAATGATTTCATGCACCCAGAAAAAAAAACTTCTTATATGTAAATATTAAAGATGGGTCACCTTCCCGTTTCACGAATCAACGAATCATCATCCATACTTAAGTAGCTTTGTTTTGGGATATCATAACAATTTCATTACTTTCTATTCCAGTTTTTATGTAACATTAAAAATAAGAATTTATTGACTTACCGAGTTTTTAATAATTGTAATTTAAAAATTGGATAAACACATCGTAATTTCACGAAATTTCTTAAATGATTTATAACACATATTGAAAGACGTCTGTGGAAGAATATAGAAATATTTAAATAAACACATTTTTATGTAAATTATGTACGCACAAAGAAGAAAAGAGTACCAAAGAGGTGCTTCAATATCTTCTCACTTATGATCCTAATAACTATTCTAACTATTCTTCTTAATGGAGAATTCAAAAGAATATGTCTACTACATGTCATTTTAACGAAGGAAGGATAAATATGTCTATTTATATGTCATTGTCGAAGGTATCACAAGCATTTCACTTTAATAATAATGTGTCATAAGTCTATGGATTGATTTAAAACTTCGATCACAACTTATATAAGTTAATATGTATATATTCGCATTATAACGAAATATGGGCCATATATTTTATATGCCATGATTAGACGAGTAAGATAATACACTTCAAAAATCAGCTGTTTATTTATATGGAATATTTTAAGGAACTACATATCATTCTAAATTTTATCTGGTATGATAAAATTTTATTTCGAATAGAAATATGATAAGTGTATCTAAAAATATGTGTATATGTTTTAAAAATCTTGTACATTCTCAACTTATGTTCACGGAAACAAATCAGAGCAAAAGCAAATTGAATACATGATTGTGATTATATCAAGTACGTCCGGTACTTGTATTTTCTATTAGTAAATTGTTAATTGTAATGATGTAGTCCTTGGATATTAATGTTATAAGTTAGGAGATAATGCACTGTGACCTAAATAGCATTTGTGCAATCTTCGTGAATCCAGATTATTACTTCGGATTTGATTTTCTTTACAAAATTATTGGAGTTTAATGGATTTTTACTACGACCTAGAGATCTATTGTGTAATATCTCTAGAAATTGCGATTCTGCACCTACTTCGAAATTTTTGTCAAGTGGTTTAAATACTTATCTTGCTACTTATCTGTCGATAAAGTCAGCAATAATCAGTCTATCATATATTAAAGGTTATCAGCAACAAAGTTTACAACGATGTTATGTAAAATATATAAAATATATATTGTATGTTATATATCTATATATATGTAGTAGGATACTCACCAATACGTGCACTGGGAAGTAGTATCGATCTCGTACATGGATCTTATAAATATATGAAAGGGTCATTAGATATTTATATATGTAAATACACAATATATTTACTTACTTTTTATGGTAATACGTATTACTCCTAAATATTAAGTTACTAACTAAATTTGACTATATTATTTATTAAATATATCGTTTCTTATTAAAATATTTTCTGTAAAAAATATGGAAAAAATACTTTTGTTAATAATGTTAATTATTTTAATTTATAATTAATAATTATTAAATAAAGTGACACTTTTTTTAAAATTTGCTTAATTAATTAATAAGCAACTTTTGTTAACTTACCAATTCTTAGTAAATGTAGTGTGTGTTGTTTTGTATGTAAAATAAATGCAAATTTTGACATTTCTTTTTTAATTTTGATAAAATTCCAAAAAAGTTAACAAGAAGAAATTTTTGAAGTTTTCTATTCGAAAATATATTTATTTATGAAATACAATACATTTTATTTTACCTCAACATTTTTTTGTTCAATTCAAAGCCAACTACTCTAAATTAAAATTTGTTTAATAAAAAATGATAATTGATATAATGTAAAATTTTTTTAAGATATAAAATCTTCTTAAACTATTGTTTTAATAAATAAAAATTAAGAATAACAGCTAGCCTCGTAGCCAGAAAATAAATTCGTTGGGGTGGTGGGATAATTTCAGTAATTAGAAAAAACATTTTATATCAGAAAGTAATCAGGATTGAATTGTTATATACATATATATAAAAATAATCTTCCGATTCAATTTAGGATTTCAAACTTCCAAGTTTCTCCAGCTTTCCGTTGGTTAGGTACCTGCAAACAGCCAAATATGGATGCCATTCCTCTTAGAAAGAAGAACTAAGCAGCACATATCAAAATTCTACATATCTTATAAAGAGAGATATATATTAAATCAAGATGTTATTGGATCAAAATCCAATATATATTGTATAATCGCCATTATAAATGTATCCACTTTCATCTGACTATAATCCCTATAGCCATTTTCTTCGAGAACAATGGAATCAAATACTTCACTCATTAATTACTAGGAACCAACAAATCAAAAATAATATTAAACTGAATGGGATGTCTAATTCATATCCTATAACTTCTCGAACCTTCTTCCGACCAAGTAGAGACTATTACAATATACGAGAGCAACAAATTGCTTTATAAACAACTTCTTAAATGCTCTAACATCAAATTGATTACTTATTCAATCACAGCACATATACCTTACCACTGTTTTGAAGCTGCAATATTTCGAGAAACTCAGCAATCATATGTATTGTAAGGTTTCTTGATCTTTCTTCTATTATAAAGATTACTGTTGTCATATATCGTCTATGAAAACATATACGCTTGTTTTCAGTTTATGGGATCCCGAGCTTGATGGGTAAGGTATTTTGACATACCATGGTATTTCGACGACAATATAAAAAATTTAAATATTTGTTGGTAAGACCCTTGAGTCCATAGTCGATCAGTTTGAGTTCTTCAAATGGCTTTTTTGTCTTTAATTATTCACGATGCATTTCAAAAAGAAAAAAGCAAATTTCAAAATTTTAAAAAATTTTTGAGATAACAGTCTTTGCCTACTAATGATTTATTTATTCCGTATTAGAAATAAATATTAGATATCATATTGGGAATACTGTCTATTGAGGTCGACGACTCTTCATCTGTAAAATAATATTTAATTAATTGTTATTAATATTAGAACCAACACACTTCTCTCCTCACTTATTTAATTATTTTCTCAAGTCAATATCCACGAATAAATTCCAATTCGTTGAGTTATCAACGCCCACTAGAAAAGTGTGTACCCATCCGATATCTCAAAAACAGAACGAGTATTTCAGCGAATTTCATAAAAACATTGCACTGGGAATTAGCAATGTTTACGTGACTTGCTTTTATAGTCACGAGTGTTCAAATATTTAGATCGCAGATAAGATCTCGTAAAAAAAAAACAATTAATTGATAACACTAATTCCATACTGGTGGCAACGGAGGCTCGTCAAGTTGTTCCACACAACCTCACAAGCTCGGTTGATGATAACGAAGTGGAAAAATTCTAATAGAGAGACGGCACTTGATTAAATTATCTGGTAATTAACATTTATGGTAGGCCTTCCGTTGATTATTTTTGGTATTATGTGATAATTAATATTAAAATAAGTCACGTTTTTCAAGGAATTCTAAATTTAAAACTATTGATTCTAAGTCTGAAGATCGCAAACTACAATTGAACACAATTCATAACAGCAGTGAGTAATATCGAGAAATAAGATTACTGAAGTGACCGTTGTTCAAATTTTCCGGGAGGTACTAACGACGTGTGATACATTACTATTTTCAAAATTTTAATATTATTACTGTGTTATATTTGTACCAAAATGATAAATCTAATTACTGTTATAACCGGTTAAAGTCAATATAAAGTAGTTCAGATTGGATGAAATTAGTAAATACATGACTCAGGTAAGCACAGTGATGATATATTCTATATAATACTTCGTTAATTGTACAAAGGAAATAAAGTGAGCTTTTCTAGTGAGTCCCTAAAAAATTGACACTATCTGCTTGGAGTATTGGAGCGCTTTTCAGTGTAATTGATAGTAAAATACTAGTCTTAAGAGAGAACATCACAAGGCTGGATGTTTAATTATTAATTTCTGAACGTTATTTTGCTGGCCAAATTTTACAGAATGGCTATGTGGTTGGTAAAAGTAGAAGTGATAAGGCGATGACTTGTCTTAAAAGAATTTCTGATAAAAATAATACATACAAAAAAGAGGCTCAAGGATTAAGAGGCCCTGATTAAGTTTACCTGATTAAGTTTGCGCTGAAATATCTCGATTACAAATAGAATTCTAATACGGGTTGTACTATTTAAATGACAACAATTTGTTTCTAAAAGACACTAGAATTTTCAAACTAAGAAAAGAAAGGCGTTTAGCTTCACCCAAGATTGTGTTTGAGTATATTCTAGAGGTAAGGCATGCTTGTTGTAAGAGACGTTTAGAATTCACTAGGCACCACTCGATACTGTTTGGAGTAAGGATGATAGTGAGTGAGTTTTCCTTGTGACACCCGACCGGAGGTGTAAATCTAGCACTATGGGGTTAGAACCCACAGCTTTGGCTGCCATGTCTATGTATAAGAGGTTGACCCTTCTAATAAAAGTATCTCAGTGGTTGTAGTTAAAAGCAAGGGTTGCGGAAGTATAAAATGTATTTATTACTTTCAGTGGATGTGAAGTTGCATTTCTCAACTGGGAGCTGTGGCCAAAAAAACAGCAGAGGTGTTAGATAGATCTTGCTACCTCCCAAGGTGGAAACTATAACAAAGCGTATGTGGTAGCAGTGGAGAAATATACTCTATATCTACTCTAATATATTTAAATTATTTTAATATGTCTTGAATATGTCATTATAATTATTAAAATAATCTTTAATGAACTCAAAAAATAAAATAAAAACCATTTTGTTTTTAATTTAAATTAAATTAAATTTTATTTGCTTTTTTAATAGTTTATTAATATTTTCATTTATAAATACATACATAGTTATTTACTATTATCTCACTAGTCTCATTCTTAAATTATTTACAATTAATTATCTTAACACTTAAATCACAGTTTAATGGAAATTTTGTATGTAATAAAAATAAATAAATTATTCAGTGATGTATAAATAGTAGAAAATGGAATAATAAATTAATTGTGTAATACTATTAAATAATTGCATAAAAACAATAAAAATAATTAAGTACATTGATTTAACAAATACTTTAACAAAAATTAATACTTTTGGTTTAAACAAAAAGTTAAATTTGTTGGTTAATTAATAATATAAGTAATGACAAGATATGGAAGAGCAGCATATTCACCACACCATAACAATTGTGGTGTATATAAATAATACTAACGAATGACAAGTGTGGTAACATTGAACAAAATAAAATATTATAGATTATCTTAATAGAAAATCCTAATTTAATTTGCTTGCCATTCAAAAAATAAATAAATATAAATTAATTTTAAAATTATAAAATCGTTCGTAATTAAATTAAATTAGTAAATTCTTTTCGCGCAATAATATTAAATTTTAATTAAGTTAATTAGTCTATGGTTAACGTTTATTATCACTCCTTCAACTCCTTCATGAATAGTAGGCGTTGTTGTTGATGTTGTTATTGCGATAACCCTGAGAGATCTGCTGGTATAGTCCCTTTTGGGACTGATGAATGCCACGTGTTAGTCGAACTCAACGAGTGGCTCTAAAACGCAGATCTGACCGCGCTTGGAACCGAACTGTAGGCGTCGATATCTGTGCATATGCAATAGACGATAATTTTAAACATAGGAACTGTCGTACTTTTTTGCTTATTTTAAATGGAATCAAATATGGCATGTATTGATTAAATGACTTATTTTAGTAATACTATTTCGTAATTTCCTAACTCCAAGAATTGCAGTAGGCAAAACTTATTTAACTGCAGATTGGATATTTAAGCACTTTGTTTTTGCACATGACGATGCTTCTTACGTCTATTGCCACCTTGTGCACTGCTATTTCTGCCACTCTTATTACTATTACCACTGCTGCCACTTCTGTTGGATTGATTTTTTCTATGTTTACCATCCTTTCCGATATGCTCAATGCTATCTTTCGCCATTGTACTTACACTTGCACTTTCACTCGAACTGGCGCTACCACTATCCAAAAGTAAATGTATTTTCAATTTATTTGCACGCTTCGAATTATGTTGTAGTTGACATTCTTCATTACTTCCAATGCGGCTGAGAATATTAACCATTTGATCTAGATACTCAAAGTAGTGATGTTTGGTCAACAATAGATCAACAACATTGGGATCATTTTTCTCATGCATTTCGTAGATTCGTGTAAGGAAGTTTAGTCTCTTATTCATTTGTGCTCGACTAACTGAAGTCAACATGGCGCTTTTCTTTTGTGGATAGGAGGAATTGATTGTGGTCTCAATTTCACATAACAGTTCCTGTGCGCTAAGGAATAGAACGTTCAGCTCCTTTGTGGTTTCCTTGATTTGGTTATGTTTCACTTTATCGTATTTGTATTGCGTACGTCCCAGGTAGGCAAAGGCGGCCACATAGTTTTGCATGTTGCGGTACCAACGTTTTAAAACGATCTAAAAATAAAATTTTAAATAATATGTTATTAATATAAATTACATTAAGTGCTTGGCGATTTTTGATTGATTTATTATATATAAAATATAGTTTACATATTGATTTTTATTACATGATATGACCATACACTGACACACACAACTGCAACTTCAAACCGCAGCAGCTCTTATGCAAATTACGCTGTTAATTCTTAGCTTGGCAAGCACAGCACCAGCACCAGCACCAGCAACAGCACCGACTGCCAAGTGCCGAGTGCAGCGCATTGACAGTGCCTGCGAAGAACTGGTTTCATGCCAAGCAAGCAATGCGCAACAAGACAAAGCATGCAATGGAAATAAGAAGGGTTTTTAACCCAGCTAAGCGTGGTTCGCTTAAAAATGGCTGTGCTTTTGTTTTTGTTTTGCCGGTGTTTTTTTCATTTTGTTTTTGTTTTTGCTTTTATGTTTTTGTATATTTGAACTTCGTATGCGCATTCATGCCCTGAGGGCGGTGATTGTCAAGTTAACGCACAACTTTTTTTGGTACGTGCAACGTGCGTTAATGCTGTTGCTCTACTCTGCTCTGCTTGGACCTACTGTGGTGTGGTATTATGCCAGCCAGCGAACTTTCAGCTGCAGTGTTTAGTGTTTACTTTCTTTGTTGTTTGTTGTTGTCTTTTTAAGTAAAGTTAAGTATAATTTTTTAATTGACTTGTTGAAAGTGTGATGCACTTGCGTTCATGTTTGATGTGGACATTTGCATTAAGGTTAATGTTGTATATCAACCTATACCACATATGAGATGAACATCAAGATGAAGAATGGAAGACGGTTCAAGATTTTAAATAGTTTTAATTTTTTTAAAGAATTTCTCTCTCTTTCGTTATTGTTTATACTAATTTATGGAGTTCTTTAATAATATTGATTAAACTTCAACTTATATTCAAACTTGAATCTAAATACTAGGGTAGTGGTAATACTGCAACTAATTTGAAGCAACGAGTACGAAAATTTTTACTGATATATAAAAAATAAATATAAAATATTGAAAATTTTTTAACAAAAGAAAATAAAAAAAACACACTAAAGTGGGCTTGCCTGGTAGCTCGACAACTCTTTGAAAGGAATAAGAATAAATTTAACAATATATGTGATAAGTTTGTTTTAATTAACTTTTAATTTTGTTAAATAAACGACCTTAAGTGCGGCGAAATTAATTTAATACAGATATATGTAATAGTGTGAGGCCCAGGTTTCAATGCACTTTGAGGTTAAGTAACACTTAACTGTTCAGCCTGATGAAGTTAAGTTCAACAAATTGATATATAAAAATATAATAGTATGAGGCCCAGTTTTCAGTGCACACTAAGGATAAGTAACACTTAAGTGTTAGACATAGACCTTAAGCCCAGTAGAATTAAGTTATGTAACATTAAATATAATAATTTAATATTTTGAGGTCGTGTTCAATGCACACTAAAGTTAAGTAAAATTTAAGTGCTATATATTGGCCGCTGAAGTAATACCCCTAATATATATATTTAATCATATAGTGAACACTTTATGTAGTTGTTTTATATATATTTAAAAAATCATACATTTTGGGTTTAATTGAGCTTGAATATTGAAAGTTTTCCATTGCAATTATTTTATAATCAAAAGAATTATTTAACTAAATCAGAACTTTTAGAGATTGTAAATTTAAATCAATTTTTTTCTTAATACTATTAAGAAACTATATTTCTAGCCCTGACACACTTATGTTACACAATTTTCTTCGCATACCTTCTTATTCACTCAGACAGACAGTAAACGCCCCATTCTAAGCACTGAGGTTATAAAAAAGTATTCTAGATAATAACACTATAAAGATAAGTGTCTATAAGAGGTAACAGCAATTATTGGAAGTTTGATGTAAATCAAAAAGATAGTACGTAATTCACTAAACTACTTCAATTCTACAACTGGGAATTCATTACTGGAAAATGAAAACGTGTTTTTCAAAATATTTAATTTTTATATGATACTTGTATATATACAAAATCTGAAACTAACATAAATAATATATAGCATACAGCAACTTAAAAGCAATGGAAGTAGAAGTGAAAAGGCGGATAGAAATCAAAGGAGAGAAGAGCGTTAGGAAGCACTTGTCAGCTTCCTAACGCTCAGAAATCTGACTTAAGCAGTAATCAGAAGCTCACGAAGATACTTGAATTAATACATTTCTATCATGAAACTTAATAAGTTCACATAATCACATTAAAATATAAGAAGTGCTAACAACTTGGAAAGCCTATTTTATGTGCCATAACTGCAACTGTAGACAACATAGATCGCTTCAGAGCATCACTGATGTTAATAGTTTTAAAAGATAACTTTGCAACAATATATATGTATGCATGATGGAGTGAATGGATCGAGTAGCAAGAGCAGAGCATAGCGGAGAGTTTCTATTGAGTTTCAATTTGACGCACAGTGCATCTTCACTGCAGTGTTCAGCGTTGGCAGTTGAAGTCAAAGCACTTGAGGGCGCACAGCTGCATTATTTATCACATGAGCGAATGTGTCACGTCAAGTTAGCCGCTGGTCAAGTGCAATTGTCCCAATTGTCATGGTATGCATTGCGGTTGCAACGACATCGCTTACGGCACTTACACTCATACTGGCTGTTGCCAGTAACAGGAAGATGTTGCATAGTTGCATAGTTGCACTTATGCTTGATGCTTCTTGCTGCACAGTTGCACAGTTGCACGGTTGCATGCTGAATGGCGATGTTTAAATGCCGATTTGACAGATTAGTTTGTCAATTTTATGATTTTGCAGCATAAAAATTCCGCCGCATGTAAAATTAGTCAAGTGTCTAAAGTTGAAATTAATCACGATGAGAGTTTTTAGGTTTTCAGGCATTTTTAGTTGCGTTTATATGCAAATTTTTATTAATTTTCAACTATTTTTCATAAATATTTTTCATATATATTTTTCAATGTACGAATATGTTTGTAATATTTTTTCCAATTTTTTTTTTATTTGTCATTGGCATATTATTTTTTAAGTGGTTTTCTAAATATTTTTCTTAATAATTTATTAGCTAAAAGTGTGTCAAATGCTGGTATGTGGAATATTTATATATATATATGTATTGACTTGATATTATTTTTAAAGTTTTCTAAGTGAAACTTACGTCTGAGTTTTGCTTTAATTTCGGCAGAAACTTGTACCTCGCGCTGTGCATCCTCCACATATAGGCTTCGCTGATGTCAATTTCCTTCAATGTTTCGTTAAGGGATAAATTATTCTGAACGCTTTCTCGAAGCTGATTTAAGTACTATAAATTAAAAAAAAAAAATATTAATAATAATCATAATCATATAATGATAAAAGCGAAAGAAAGTTACACATAGTATAAGTAACAGAAAATAGCGTACATAATTATATTTGATTTCTATACTTACAATACACATTGGTGCTTGTCTTTTGAGTGGTTCCTCAGTTGGGTCATAAACGCCATTGCATGGATTCTCCCATTCCAAAGTTGTTGAATTTACATCCAAATCATTTTGAAAATATTTATTATTTTCTCGCTTACGTAGACGAATACGTTTACGAACTCCACTGTCGAGCTGCAAATCTGGAAAGTGTTGGGGCAATAAGTCCTCTTCTGCTGCCCATGCCGACGCTGATTCTTCCACCGAACTGGTCAGTGAAGAAGAATTTTCTTCTCTTAATACAGCGGCTGAGCTGCTCTGGGGCATTTGTGTTAGCAACATTATAGTCATTGTCATTAGCAAAAGTGTTAAGGGGCGTTGGGTGCTTATCTTGTTGCTGTTATTGTTGCTGACGTCGTTGCACTTACGACGACAATACCACACGTTCAAGTTAATGCAGTTGCTGCTGCATTGGCTGCTGCTGGTATTATTGCTCATGCAAAAACGTGTGGAATCGTTGAGCAATCTCAAATTATTTACTTTAGCCGTTTTGTTAGTGTTTTGGGTTGCGCTATTTATGCAACCGCCTAAAATTAAAAAAATTAAAAAAAACATTAATAATTTATTTGTGTGATTAAATAGTTGATATGGTTATGCAAACTAAATAAATAGTTATTGAAAATAAATTATATTAAAAATATTTCGTTACATACATATATATAAATAAAAGAAAAATAAAAAATTTTTTTTAATTTATTTGTGTAAATAATAAATTATTCAAGCCTACATATACATACAAAATAAAAACTTATATACTTATATATAAAATATTTCATTAAATATAGGAAAACAGAATATAAATTAACAATACTAGTTCCCTACTTTTGGCTACATCCAAGCATTCCACTGTGGGATCATTCACAGAATCGTGATATTCAGTCAGAAAGATATAATATTTTTCCCCAACTATAAAGAAATTTCTAACTTTATTATATATAAATTATATTCCCAAATATTCCTTCTATTATATTCCTAAAATTATAGACATTAATAATTATCTTATAATTTTTTAAAAATTTTCTAAATTTAATTTTTTTTAATTTTTTTTAAAATTAAAGTGGCAATAAATTTAAAATTTTTTTATAATAATCATTATTTGAAACAAAAATTGCATGAAATGCTTTTATCAAATTACACATAATATTTTAAAAATACGTAAACATTCTAAAAGATATTTATTATTAAAATCGTTTAGAAAGTATACACGTCAAAACATGTCTTATTATTTGCAAATATTTTTTTTGGTTTTGTTACTGACATTTCATAAAAAGAATAAACATTTCAACGGTTCCACTCAATTAATTAATAATACTCAATTAATGCAATGATTCATCTTATTAACAAACAGAAAAAGTTTAAGAAAAACAGAAATGTAAAAACCAATATGAAGCGAAGAAAATATAATTAAATATTAAAAATGTTTAAAAATTAAACGAAATAATTTGAAATAAAATTTCAAAATTAATCTTAAAAATCATTAAAAAATTAAAACATATTTTTTATAAAATAATAATAAAGAAAACATTAATAAAATAAAAAAAAAACATAACAAAAGTATTACAAAATATTTAAAAAAGGACTATTTAACTATTTAAGTTTTATAAAGATTTAAAAAATTTAATATATATTATATATTAAAACAATAATTTGAAAAAAATCAAACAAACTAAAAACAGGAGTACACAATATTATAAAAAAAAGTTTTAAATAAAGAATTAAAATAAATATAACAACTCTAATAAAAAAATATTAAAAATAAATTGAAAAAATATAAAAATTGTTTGAAAAATATTTCTTTAATTTAACCAAATAGGGCTTTAAAATATTTTATGATTTTTAATAAATAAAAGAATTAAAAAAAAATTTAAACAAAACTTTTTTCGAAGTTTGACTAAATAAGGCCTTAGTATGATTTCAAATAATTAAAACTAAGAAAATGATTAATATTTAACCAATAAAGTCTTTATAATGCTTCATTTTTCAAACATTTAAAAAAAAATTTAAACTATTTTTTTTTATTTTAAACAAATAAGGTTAAAGAAGTTTTTTTGAAAAATTAAAACTTTAAAAATTAAAAAAAAAATTTAATTAATTAAAAATTTAAACTAATTTTTTTTATTTTAAACAAATAAGGTTAAAGAAGTTATTTTGAAAAATTAAAACTTTAAAAATTAAAAAAAATATTTAATTAATTAAAATAATATAAAAAGGAGTTTTGTTGTTGTAGGTCACTACTTTTCATCACCACTCTAAAAAATTCAAAGCAATAAACTAATTTAATTTTTATTATCAACAAAATTAATTATTTACTGAGTTACTTTTACTTAACTTAATAATTACTATCATATAAAAATGATCTCAATCACATACCTTTTTGGTAGATTTTATAAAACGATTACTTAACACAGAATATAAATTGCTTTATAAGAGGTTTAAGTTAATTAATTTAATTATAATTTTAGTATATAATTATTGATTAATGATTTTATTAATGACTCCTTTTTAAATCAATTTATGGTTTTTATCGCTTAGATAATTTATATTAATTCACATAACACTACTAACAAGAATTTTTAAATTTTTATGGACACTTCAAAACTGAATTTATTCGATATATGTTATATAAATATTTATAAGCCTTAATAAATGAATTAATAAATTATTAAGTTGCTTTCGTTCGTTTAAGATTTATTCAAATGAAATATTCGTTGTTTACGTTTCGCTGTCTTTTTATTGACTAACTAAACTGACTTGAATGACTAAAATCTTTAAGTTAGCCTACGACAACCAGCCGCAACCTAACTAAAAGCGACTAACCAACCAATCAACCATACAACCACACACAGAGAAACTTTTGTGTGCCGCTCCAGCTACAGCTAAATATAAATTGAGTTTTACGCTGGCAAATTCCAAAGCAAATGCACAATTTGTATTACTCATCCATAAACAGTTTTCAGTGTTTTCAGTGTTTTCAGTGTTTTCAGTATTTGCTGTACAGCAAATGTACCAATTACACATACAATTTACATACGAAATGACAATACAACCATTACAAAAACAGCAACTAAAACAAAAACAACAATAACAGCAAAAAATACCGAATGAAAAAACCCACTTTTACGCTATGCATTGAGTGAAAAATGTAAAATATGCTATTAAAATGCAATTTTCTTTATCAAATGCAATAAAAACAAAAATAAATAAAAAACGCAACAACAAAATATAGGGAATCACATGCAGCAGAAAAGTTAAGTAGGCGCACGTGTGAGTGATTATTATTTCATAATAAAATTTCTCTCTTTGCAATGCGTATTTTGTTGTAGTTTCTAGTTGTGTGCGTATTTTTGAGTAAACTACATGGCAAGCAGTTGAGTCGGACACCTGTAATGCATGAGTAACTCAAGCGTAGTAACAAGACAGTCAGATATTTTACATGCTTACATTGAATTGAGAGTGTTTTTCTTTTTGAGTAAGTCTTGCACCCACACACAATTATAAATAAGGGGTTTTCTTGAAAATTTTCTAATATACATTTCGACATACAGTCATTTCATTTTTACTTTTTAACTTATTTATACCTACTATTCTGGTGGGATATGTATATTCTGTTATCTTTGTAGAAAATGGATCTTGTTGCTATACTCAGTATAAAGCACTATTTCTTTTCTTGTGTGTTTGTAAGTGAAGAAAGTGATTTTCTTTTGTGTGTTTTATCCAATAGAAATACTTCTGCTTAAATTTTGGTAATATTTAAGGGCACTGCCCACATTTTCAGTGATATGAAGTCATTCATATAAGATTCTTATCATCTTCTTGCTCGGGTTTTTTTTTTTTTTGATTCTGAAATTGTACTCACTCGTTGGCGAAGAGTGTATGTAGCTTTCATTCATAAAAGCTTGCTTGTAGCAAAAAAACTAACTGAGTCATATATGCGGGTATAACGTTAAGTGTGTTATTTGAAAACTGAAACATAAGCGAATTTCTGTTTGAAACTTAAAACGTTAATTATTTTTAAATATTAATTTAAGTAATATAAGAAAGTTTTCTTGCATTCAACAAAGTTAAATATAGATTATAATATCAGTATTCATGTTATTTTTAAGTATATAGTAATGTTGATAAACACAACAAACAAGTTTAAAAATAAAAAATATTTTTTCTGCTTTCATATTTAAGTAGAACACATCTATATATTTATATATGTATTACTTATTTCGCCTACTTTCTTTACATTTCTTGCATTAACAAAATTATTCTTATATGGTTTTAATTTTCAAGAACATTTGCCAAAAATAAACAAATAGTCAAACCTACACGTTTAGTAAACAAAAACCATAATAACATTTATTACTCAAGTTCAAAGTTATTTTGAAATTAAATATGAGTACCGCAAATAATTTTAGTATAACTTTTAGTTCATATTGTTTATGTTTCACGTGCATTTGATATCGGCGGGGCTAAGTGGGCTGCATACAACTTGCGCTCTCACTCCACACAAATTTTGTGCTGTATTTTTATCATTACTCAAATTTTTTTCTTTGCAAAGTTTGCTGTTATTTTTTCTGTTTTGTTTTGTTATTTTTCTCTCCCCAGGTTCGTTGACTTTACAAAGCTTTGGCATATTCAGAAGCTTAAGATTTTAAAGCAAAACCTATCATTGTAAAAAAAAAGTTTATTATAATGTAATTTTTTTGTAGTGGTGTTGCTTTATACTCTCATTGTTTTTGTAATTAATATAGAAACAGCTGATACATGTATATTGTGCAAGGTCGCTGTTTGTTGTTTGTTGTTGCTCTTGTTCAATGAAATTATAACTCAGAACAACTGCATACATATGTTATCATTGCTTAACAAATAATAGGAGAAACTGATAAAAAAGAAAAAAGAGAAAAAACACAAAGAGAGTAGCATAAATAAATTCTAACATAAATTATAGTTTGCACCACACACTTCTCCCACTTAGTTTTGGTTTGTTAAAAACTTTGCTAAATTTCCTATGATTTCACAAGAAATTACGTATTACTCATACGTTGTGTGTTGCGTTGCGGTCGCCCTTGTCTTCGCCTTAGCCGGCATTTACAGTAAAAATTTTATACAAATTAATTTGCTCAATTGATTTCAGTGTGAGACAGACAAAAAAACAAAAAAAAACAAAACCACTACGAAATGATTTTTTCAGTATTTTCGTCTACTAAGGCAGCAAATGCAAGCATTGTGTTTCCTTTATTAATTAAATTTTTTTGTTTTTTTACTTGTGCAGTATTTAAATCGTGATTTTAGTCATGTTTTGAATTTTGTTACAAAGCTGACTGTTGAAGTCAGCTTTTTTTTTGTTGCTCCACCGCACTTCTTTGATTTGTCCGTCTGCATATATGTCTATGTTTTGCTTTTTTTTGTGGTTATATGCAAATTTCAAGCGCTAACTGAAATTGCGTGTGGCTCAGTATAATT